ACTACACACACACACACACACACACACACACACACACACACACACACACACGTCAACTGTGAAATGGTAATCCTTGATATATTTTATTCAGGCAACAACTCTGGAGCTAAGCAGTCATTACAGGGTTTTTGGCTCTTTGGCCCTAGCACCTTTCTGCTTCCAACAACAGTTGTTCTAATTCATTCATCCTCAACATGGGTGTGGTCGCTCAGTGTCGGCCTTGCTTTCAATATGTCCTATTGTTCAAATCTGGTATTACAACCAAACAAATCCAGCAAACCCAGCTGTTTGTCCTTTGTCTTAAAGGTCCCATGGCCATTTCTACTGATCATAATTCCATTGTTGAGGTCTGCTAGAATAGATTTACATTGTGCAATTTTCGTGGGGGCTGCGAGACAGCGAGACATCGCGAATGGACGCGGGAAGGGGGGGGGGGGTGCTGAGGGGGCTGCAGCACCCCCATCTGCGAGGCTCCACTAGCACCCCCCCCACCCCCAGCGAGTCACAGTTTCGCCGCTGAGAGAGAGTGTGTGTGTGTGTGAGGAGCTCCACGGATTGGTCCATTTGGACCAATGGGTCCATTTGGGTATGGTCACATCACTGTACCCAGGAAAAAAAATAAAAATCTCCAACAAGGCGTTCTGGGGCAGCATAGACAGGTCTTTTCGGTGTTAGAGTTGTACTCGCTACAGGGTATAATTTGAGGGTTTGTGACTTTGCAGACCGTTTACATGCATAAAAAGTTACATAACACACAAGGGGACGGGTAATAACCGGAAAAGCATGACATTAAAACATGTGATGCTGTAAGAGCACAGAAATATGGGATTATAAACCAAGTATTAAAACCAGTAGAAAGATAAAAAAAGGTTTATTAATTATGTTCAAAACCAAAACATTTGATTATTTATAATAAAAATGTGTGTTGGTTTTCCCAAACTAATGGCTGTAATTTGTCTTTATGAAAATATAGTGCTATTACAAAATGCACCCAGAATAAAAGGTAAGGCAGCTAAAGGGGGAAGAAAGGACTTGTTTACGCACTGGTGATGTCCTTGATCAGCTCGGCTATAGAAGTGTGGTTAGCCAGCGAGCTTCGAGCTGCCTGCATGTGAGGCAGCTGAGACACAAACTGCTTGATTTCTCCCACTGTTTTAGCATTATGACGCTCCTGAAAGACAAAAAACTAAAGTTACTTGATGAACTTTTAACATGTTTAGAAACAGCATTTAAAATGATGGAAACCAATTTATGTATGACAAAAAGACACCGCTACACCAAAAATGTTTAAATGAAAAATGATGTAACAAGTTTAGAGGGCAATTTTTAGACAGTTTGACCCATCTTCAGTTTGTTTCTATGAAATACAGCTCCCACACAATAACCCATATTTGTTGACATTTCCTTCAGGATTAACAATGATTACACAAACGGAGTAAATTACATTTGTGAAAACATCTCTAATTGTAAGATTATTTTGTCTACATTGATTTCCTGGATTATAACCTCTGATGTCACGCTATTTTGCTTATCAACTCTCCACTAATGTAGTTTGTGTTGCAATCGATATACCTGAGCTGATTAGAGAATAGTATTTCAATTTGGCCTTGTTAAGCCTTCTGCTGGAACAATGAGCACTTCACCTTATCTCTTAGTGATCGTCATCACTTCCCTAACCTCATGGATTTCCGTTATGACTTTAGAGGGTGAAATGCCACAAGGATTTAAATTAAATGAAATTAGCATGCAAGTGAGTGTGCAACTACATTTCTTTAAACATCTTTGCATTACACAACATTACACTATCATCATATTGCAACAAAGATGAGGCAAAACCAACCTCAAAGGCTGCTGAAATGATTTTGGCCTTCTTGCTGAGCGCTGCTCCGACCGCGTTGAAGTTTTTGTCACGTATTTCTGCGTACAGCTCCTCTGCTGAGTTTAGCTGTAGCTTCTTGGGCTCTGTGGGTAAATCTTTACTCGCCTCTCCTTGCTTCTTCTGAGCAAACTTCTCAGGAGGCAACTTGACGTAACCTGTGAGTCAGAGGGAGAAAAAAAGGCTGGTGATTAAAATAGAAAAAGAAACAGACATCCAAGAAACACACAGTGTGACGTAACTGTAAGAGTGCATTTACTTCAGACTGTTTATTAAATTCAACGTTATGTATAATGCAGATCATTGAGGGCACAACAACAACAACAACAACAACAACAGTGAAACATAGTAATTTACAAAGACTAAGAAAAGGAAAAACAAAACAGAAAAATGTACTAACAGAGAAGAGGCAATCTTTTGATATTAATTAAAATATTCAGAATGAGAAAATTATATTTGATAGATGAGTTAGAATAATTAAGTTGTACAAAATTAAATACAGTTACATAAAAAGCCCTAGAATATTGCAATTAATTAATTGTTTAGATAGTTGACTTTAGTCTAAGTTATCTCATGTAAATAAGTATTTCCAAGGCACACCTTTTATATGATCATTATAAAAAACAAGAGAATAACAGGTATGAAATAATTCCAACTCATACTATAGGACAGTAACACAAAAATACAGTTTAAAAGGAGAGTGATTTGTAAAATATGCATAAAGAAAAAGTAGGTCTGTTTTAAACAGTATTGTTTCACATGGGTGTTGTTGACAGTTGTATCCATGGATTTAGTCCCTAACTTTGCTCTCAAAGTGCACCAGATAGATGCATTTAACTTCAACATTTAAAAAAAATCTTCCCGGGGGAGCATGCCCGGACCCCCCTAGAGGAGGTGAGGTCCACCCCGTCAAATTGTCCCACCCACATTGAGGATGCTTCCTACGCCCATAAGACAATTATATACAGTGGGGGAAAAAAGTATTTAGTCAGCCACCAATTGTGCAAGTTCTCCCACTTACAAAGATGAGAGGCCTGTCATTTTCATCCTAGCTATACCTCAACTTTGAGAGACAAAATGAGAAAAAAAAAAATAAAAGTCCAGAAAATCACATTGTCTGATTTTTAAAGAATTTATTTGCAAATTATGGTGGAAAATAAGTATTTGGTCAAAATAACAAAAGTTAATCTCAATACTTTGTTATATACTCTTTGTTGGCAATGACAGAGGTCAAACGTTTTCTGTAAGTCTTCACAAGGTTTTCACACGCTGTTGCTGATATTTTGGCCCATTCCTCCATGCAGATCTCTTCTAGAGCAGTGATGTTTTGGGGCTGTTGCTGGGCAACACGGATTTTCAACTCACTCCGAAGATTTTCTATGGGGTTGAGATCTGGAGACTGGCTAGACCACTCCAGGACCTTGAAATGCTTCTTACGAAGCCACTCCTTCGTTGCCCGGGCGGTGTGTTTGGGATCATTGTCATGCTGAAAGACCCAGCCACGTTTCATCTTCAATGCCCTTGCTGATGGAAGGAGGTTGTCACTCAAAATCTCACGATACATGGCCCCATTCATTCTTTCCTTTACACGGATCAGTCGTCCTGGTCCCTTTGCAGAAAAACAGCCCCAAAGCATGATGTTTCCACCCCCATGTTTCACAGTAGGTATGGTGTTATTTGGATGCAACTCAGCATTCTTTCTCCTCCAAACACGTCTAGTTGAGTTTTTACCAAAAAGTTCTATTTTGGTTTCATCTGACCATATGACATTCTCCCAATCCTCTTCTGGATCATCTAAATGCTCTCTAGCAAACTTCAGATGGGCCTGGACATGTACTGGCTTAAGCAGGGGGACACGTCTGGCACTGCAGGATTTGAGTCCCTGGCGGCGTAGTGTGTTACTGATGGTAGCCTTTGTTACTTTGGTCCCAGCTCTCTGCAGGTCATTGACTAGGTCCCCCCGTGTGGTTCTGGGATTTTTGCTCACCGTTCTTGTGATCATTTTGGCCCCACGGGGTGAGATCTTGCGTGGAGCCCCAGATCGAGGGAGATTATCAGTGGTCTTGTATATTTTCCATTTTCTAATAATTACTCCCACAGTTGATTTCTTCACACCAAGCTGCTTACCTATTGCAGATTCAGTCTTCCCAGCCTGGTGCAGGTCTACAATTTTGTTTCTGGTGTCCTTTGACAGCTCTTTGGTCTTGGCCATAGTGGAGTTTGGAGTGTGACTGTTTGAGGTTGTGGACAGGTGTCTTTTATACTGATAACGAGTTCAAACAGGTGCCATTAATACAGTTAACAAGTGGAGGACAGAGGAGGGTCTTAAAGAAGAAGTTACAGGTCTGTGAGAGCCAGAAATCTTGTTTGTTTGTAGGTGACCAAATACTTATTTTACAGAGGAAAAGCAGCATACATTTAACAGTTTTACAGTAAAAAGACATGTGGATATCGGTAGGTTTAAAATCAAATTTCCAAAAGTTCAAAGTGAATTGATTTTAAGGAGGTGTTGTAGAGGATTCTGGTGCACTAACATTTAAAGCATTTTTTTCCAAACATAAAGATGAAAGAGTCAATAAAGGTGTTTTCTTACCGTTAGTAATTCCATAGACCTCGTCGATGAGTCCCTCGTATGTGAGCTGCGTGGCCAGAGGAGTGAGCAGGTCCACGTTACGGTCCAGGAGGAGCAGAGTGTCGAACACGGGCAGGATCTGATTCTGACTGCCGGCAAACTCCCTCTTCATCCTCAGCATCATGTTGGCAACATGCTGAAAAGAAGCACAACATTTCTTCTGTCAAACTCAATTCACTCACCAGGATGCTAACAAGCCTGTGCAGTTAGCAGTGTCCGAATAATATTAATCATCATTTTGGTTATTATTATTTAATGTTATTTTGGTGAGTGTTATTCTTTTTGTCTTATTTCGTAGTTTTTCATATGGCGTTTAATTGTGACTTTTTTATAGTAAAAGTAAGGTTTTGATTTCCTACTGTATATCTTTTTTATAGCATTTTTTTAATAATTTTTTTTTTACAGTGGATATCAAAAGTATTTACAAAAATAAAAGTATTTTTACAACAACCAAAAAGAAAAAGGACAAAAAAAGATACAAGATGAGGAGGGAAGAAAGTATATTGTGCCATTTTATCATTTTGAATTGTTCTACTGTTGTGGTTGTCTGGCCAAGCTGGTGGAAAGAAAAATTGAATGCTGAAAATGAGGCCAGGATTTGTTGAAGGGGAATATATTTGATTATATATTGTGTGTTCCGCTAAAGATAAACAATCAAATATGTTCAAAAATATTCCTCCTATCACCGCACTCACCCTTGCACATTCTCCTTTCCCGTATATCTGTGGAATGGTGCCATACAGGGCCTGTAAGGTCATGAGGCCTTTGGCGGTGTGGTAGAGGCTGGTTTGGTCATTTTCTAAGTAGCACTCCTGTCAAAAAAAAGAGGGAGTAGAAACACACCATGACAGTTAGAAATAAATCACAGCTAGGATGCAAAATAATACTTTTTTTGTCCACAGGTAAAATGGCTTATGAATGTTAAAATTCAAAAGAATACATTTGTTTTTTTTGGTTCTGCAGATTACAATTGCCATGTTTTCCCATGGATGAAGTATAATAATGTTATTGTGTTGAAAACATGCATTAAGTGCTTGTTGATTTTAAATCTTTACTACATAAATCAAATAANACATTATAAGCTTAAAGGTCCCAGGACATGGCCATTTCTACGGATCATAATTCCATTGTTGAGGTCTACTAGAATAGATTTATACTGTGCAATTTTCCATTGGAAAATTGCACAGTATAAATCTATTCTAGTAGACCTCAACAATGGAATTATGATCCGTAGAAATGGCCATGTCCTGGGACCTTTAAGCTTATAATGTGATAAAAAGCTAATTAATGTCTCTTATTCCAGCATCTGAGGCCTTCTTCGACAATCTGACAGTTGAGCAGGAGTTTATGACTGGAGTAGAAACGGACAAGGTATTTTTAATCTTACTTCATATTGTTATTCAAGTCTCACATCAGTATTTTTTGTATTTAGTGATTTTTTTTTCAAATTTAGAAGTGTTTGCATTATGTTATACCTAATCTATTGGTGCCCTATAGTTCTGATGAATATTATTTGTATGTCCAGGTTAACACGTATATAGAAGACAGCATTGCCCAAAAGGATCCACTGATCAAGATTCTGCGCCTGGTTTCCATGCAGTCGGTCTGCAACAACGGCCTCAAGCAGAAAGTGTTCGACTACTACAGGAGGGAGATCCTGCAGGTAGAGTCACAGACAGAAAGATTAGATTTTTGGTCTTTTTTGTGCAGTACCCATACTGTACAGTCCTTCATCAACAAAGAAAATACTCAAGAAGAAAATCGAATTTTCCAACTGTGGACAATTTATTACTATCAAATATTATCATTTGTCTGAATAAATCCTTATTAATGTTGACTTATTAAATGATATTGAAAGCAATGTATTGTAGTGCAGCCTTTGAAACGTGTCAAAATGCAATAATTGATAGTATATCAATTGTATTTTATATTTTTTGTTTTAAATAATGTCTTTATTTTGTTTTCCATAAAGACCTATGGTTATGAACACATTCTGACACTGAACAACCTAGAGAAGGCGGGTCTTTTGAAGCTTCAGTCGAACTCAAGGAACAACTACCCCACTATAAGAAAAACCCTCAAACTGTGGATGGAGGATGCCAATGAACAGGTACAAGACTTATTAAATGAAGAAATAACGATACATGATTTAACCCATCGGTCTTTAAGGAGGATCTTAACCTCTGACCTTTTTTATTTTCTCAGAACCCCAACGACATCTCCTACGTGTACAGTGGCTACGCTCCACTAAGCATCCGACTGACCCAGGTGTTAGCCAGGCCCGGGTGGCGCAGCATCGAAGAGGTGCTGAAGATGCTTCCAGGCCCGCACTTTGAGGAGAGACAGCAGCTGCCCGCCGGGCTGCACAAGAAACGTAAGGACAAACTGTTTGCTCGCTAAACAGAGTAAATGTCCTTCTGTCTGCTGCATGTAGATAAGACACAGGCTTTGTTTCTGTGGAGTCAAACGCTGAACGGCAGGAGATTGATGGCACAAAGCTGACAATACCACGGAGCCACTGTCAGTGTCTGTTGAAGACGAGGCTTGATAAAAAACATGCTGTGCTTCATTTGTCAGTGACCACCGCCAGTGCTTTCCTTCAGTTTTCCTCCATGTTTTCACATTGGCAATAAGAGGTGTTACACTGATGGGAATAATGAATTTAATTATAAACTGAATTTGAAATGTGCTAATTAGAAATGCAAGTCTGGGCATTTAGACCGTTGACTTGTTTCTACAGGCCTGCGCAACATTGGATTTTAAAAGGTGATAATGGAGGACTAAAATCTAACGGAAGGATGACGTATTTATTATTTAATTCATGTCAATGACAATGTCCAAATATGGTGCTTTGGAAGAAAGGGTTTTTAGTTGTTTGTTTAAAGTGAGCGATGGCAAAAAAAATTTTAATTAATCTTATTGTAAAACTGAAGAAAACCATAGCATACAATATACTCTGGCAAATGTCATGAAGGTATGAAAAAAAACTGCCAAGGACTAAAACACACAGAAATGTCTTTTGTGACGCTTAAATTCTCGTTAGCTGTTATATTTTCGTAGTGAGTGACATGCATCTTGTTTACTTCCGCAGGTCAGCAGGGGGAGAATCGAACCACGCTGGTGTTCTTCCTCGGAGGAGTGTCGTATGCAGAAATAGCCGCTCTTCGTTTCCTCTCTCAAATGGAAGACAGCGGGATGGAGTATATTATAGCCACCACAAAACTCCTAAACGGTACAACATGGATCAAATCCCTCATGGACCGGCCCGAGGCCCAGACCTCCTGAGTCACCTGCGTGCACACCTGGCCACATCAAACACCCATCCATCAGAAAACCTCAGCTGCTGTTTTTTATGTCTATATCCGTCTACTGCAGGTGTTTCATTGATGTGTATCCAACATTAGGCTCTTTAAAGGTGCCCTGTGGAGTTGTATTTTCTTCACTTGGTGTAACAGACCAAAATGTTTTCATCCTTGCAGCCTGACAAACATGATAAACGCATTTCCTTTTTTTCAGGATATTTGCAAAGCTGATTTATTAAAGTGTGTTATTTGCATGCTTTCATGAGTGCCTTTACTGGTGCTTTTTTGTCCAGTACTGCCAGCAATTGAAAACCATTGGAATCGTGTGAAAACATTTACTGCCTCATGCATGTGAGGATAAACATAAATTGTTGACCAACCTGTAAAATAATTGCTCCACCAGGTGTATACACTTTACAGGGTATCTTTAAAATGTTTGCAGTCCCAGGTAATATAATATATAAGTGGTTTAATGCTACTCTCATGAATCCCTTTGTCCTCTGGCTTCTTGTCCTGCTTTACTATGAAGTTACTGTAAATATGTACGTATGATACAAATTGTTGGGATGTCATGCATAAGATGATAAAGATGCACTTCTTGAATTTTTGGAAGGCTTTTGGAAGGCAAACAAATAAAGTCTTAACTAACTGAAATCAAATTTGGATTACTTTGTCATGTTTTGCTTATTGTTTTACTTGATAATTTCCAGAAAGGCAAGCTGATCAGGGAGATAAAAGGCAGAGATGGGAGTGTATCTGTCAGCGGCGGTCCGGCTCTCTGAAGGACCAATTAGCTCACCAACAGGCCTCCGATCAGCCGATAATGGCCATGTGCTGTCTAGAGAGCTCAGCCCACGGCCGCACATGATTTGACAGCGCAGGACACTGATTGAATTAGGAGGCCATTTGCTCCGTGTTCCGGTAGAGGGTTACTGTGCTACAGGAGGGTGTTTGATCTCTGTTTCAGTCAATACCCTCTCCGTGCCTTATACACTGTGAGCATAGGGAGACCTGCTGACAGCTCTCAGATATTTTGGTGAACTGTTCTTAGGTACATTTATGTTCATTTCCTACATGTTGATTAGCTGGAAATCTTGTGCCTTGAATCAATGGATCAGAAGATACTTAATTCTGTTAATGGCAAGCTTGAGGGTTAAATATCTGACACTGAAATCCCTTTGTTTGAGGAGCAGGTGCACTGAAGACTTAAACTCCCATTAGATCAATCCCAGGGGATTCAGATCTGTGATCAGTCATTGCTTTTGGCCCCTCCTCTGCCATAGGGGCTTGAAACGCCCAAAGCACAACACACCAACTTGGACTTCAGGACTGGAAGCAGAGGAGCTACTTAATTATCTTCTCCAGCCCCGCTGCAACGGCACCGAGGTATGATTGTTTTAAGTTTTCCTTTTTACTATATAAATTATATATTGATCTTGCTTGTGAGTTGTTCCTTCATTGAGTTTTTATTTTAACTTAGTTTAAGTATGTTAAACACATTTAGGACATTGTATTGTACTTACAAGATTAACTCTATATTAATACCAGTAGCATTGTTTTGAGTAGGATATTTTTTCTGACTCCCTCATGGCTCACATCAGCATTTACTTGAAAGAAAAAATGTATGTATTTGTTTTACAAAGCAAGCTGTGTTTTCTATCTTTTTTTATATTTATTCTATACAATTATACATTGAGGGAGAACCGTCATTTTAATCCGAGCCAAGGTTACAATTAATGGAGAAACAACTCAAATCAAAGAACAAAAGTATACATTAATATGTCAATTAAAACAAAAATTAAGGAAAAACAGCAATTAAAGTAACGATCAATATCATAAGTTATCTAAACGAAAAATATTCTTAGGTCTTAAAGTCGTGTTGCTGCATATCTGTCTAACATCAATGCTGGTGAACAATCTGTAGTCTTTTTGACAAAGAAAGTGGATCAATATTGAACCAATTTAGTGCAATTCACGGATAAATTATTAATAGTGTTCTTTTGACAATAAAGCCTCTTCAGCTTCTAAAAGGCTAGAAATAAATCGATTTGCACTTCTGATATAAATAAACCTGCATACTTAAATAATACATAAAGCACTAAAAATAATGTACTTATATAGAGAGGTACTCGAATATTTTAAAGTAGTAATACCACAGTGTAGATATACTCTGTTACAAGTGACTCAAAGTACTATTTATAGTATAGCTCTATTTATAATTATACACTATTAATAAGTATAGGCAAATAAAATATATATAAAGTGCCATAAAGTATTTCCTCTGCACAAAGGCCCATTTCAGAAAAATATGTATTATGAGGTTCCTTTTAATAATTAGTCTCTTTAGTAAAGTATAAAGTAATATAAAATGAAAATACCTCAAGTTAAGTACTTCAAAATGGTTCTGTATGTCACTTGTTACTGCTTGAGTAAGTATAGGATTAAGGAACATACAAGACATTTATTTTATCTTATGTTCTTTGTCTTATTTTATTATATTACCCTGAGTGTTAGTGCAGTGAACGACCACCTTGTTCAAATTAAGTTGTTTTCTACTTTTGTATTCTATTGTGAAATTCAAAATTAAAAAGGTGTGTGTTTGCAGGATGGGTGGAGGGGAGAACATGGGACAGCTGGCTCAACCTTGTCGCAGGCAGAAGATGCAGCAGGACCCTCTGGATGTGGACCCGTTGTTTATCCGCTTCCTCCGGACGTTCAAGGAAGTCCTCAAATTTGTTCTCTTCAGCTACACGGTGTTGTTTGGTGCTCTGCTCCTTGCCAGATGGACCACTTATTTTATGTTGGGGAAATGAAAAGAGAGTGACTGTTGACGAATGAGCCTGTTCACAGACTTAGAGCTCATTAATGAAGTTGATCAGGCAGACCTGCTCTGGATTTGTGGTCTATGCAGTTCCTATCAATTATTAATGTCTCCCACACTCAACAAGAACAACTGGAGTGATCATGTTTGCTTCTCCTTTTGATTAACACTCTGCCTTAGTGCTCACAGCTACAGTGTTAGGTTTTTAAAAAATAATCCAAACAGGGTTTTACAGGCACTTAGATTGAATGATACCCATGTTAACCATGCCAACTTGCATCAAATGTGTTTGTTCACAATGCTTAAATGTGCAAATTAGAAATTGTTATATCTGATGTGTTGCAAAATGACCACAGTGAAGCTATAAAACAGTATTGTATGGTTGTGTAGCACACAAAAAACAGTATTGTGTATTCTTGTAGATAAAATCTTGAAAGCTGTCTTTTTCCTTGTGGAAGCACATGTACAATATGTCAAAACGTTTTATGTTAATAAGACATAAAAGCAGTGGGACGTCGGCTGTCACCAGAAAGGCAAAGCGGAGAGCTGCCCCGAGGCCCTATGCTCCCAGAGCTTCGGAAGATTGTATTGCACACTATTATTTAATAAATTGGTAAAGAATTTAAATATTAAATACTCAACCAAATTACAATATAAACTTGAATGTTTGGCCTGCTTTATTACCTATCTTTACATCCTGTTCTGTAAGTTGAATTGGAATGTGATGGCCTGTATCATGTTTAATTTATATCACGCATAATAAGTTCCTTGGCTAAGGGTTAAAATACCAACCATGCTGAAATGTCACAGTTTGTAATCTCTCCCCCTTGTTTCGTCACCTTTCTGCTAACACTGTCTTATAAAAGACAAAAGAAAGTCCCAAAAATAATAATACATCTTAAATAAAAATATCAAAATGGAATTGGGAGAGTGATGAGTCAATGGTCCTTCTTCAAACACATGGAAGACTGTTTTACATGTCACAGTGGGAGAAGCACAGGTGTAATACATTTAATATTGGCTGATTTACATTTAACTTCTTCATTGTCACACTGTCATAGCTTGTTGGGACATTTCAATTGAACATTTAGTGACCGCTGAGATTCACTAACTATGACAACACAAAATGTCTGGTTGTGACAAAGCCTACAGTTTAGGGTCCCCCCTAAAATAGGTGCCCTGGGTTCCCAGTGCAAGTAAATGTGACTAATCTGTAGTTTGCATGGTAGTTAATTTGTCATTAAAATAGATTGGAATTCTTCAAAACAGCTATCTGTCCAGCAGACGAAAGACAATATGGCAGATCCTTTGGAAGCTCAGTGGAAGTTGCAGGTGGTAAATACTTTTAGCCTATGGTGCCAACACAGATTGTAATGTTTTAATTATGTGTCAGGAGTAGCGTCCCAAACATGTAATACATAATTTACACAACTACTATACATATTTAGATGAATAATTGAATTATCTTTAGATATATCTCTTGCATATTAAAAGTATGTAAGCCTTTTATTTTCTAAATTAAACTAAAGTTTGCTTCGTTTTTGCTCAAAAACAAAAACTAACCCTGTGTGTGTGGGTTTGTTCGATTTCTTTCCCCGATACAACCCACATGGGCGGGGTTACGTTATAAAATGGTTTTCTGGTAGAAAAAAAGTCTAAGTAACTTTGAATTGCAGATTAAACGTTCAATAAATCAATTAGTCTGCTCTCTGGGGACAGCAAAAAGACCCATATCCACGACGGACCAGAAGTAATGAAGATTAAAATGTCACGGTGCAGTCTCACCGCTCTCTGTTTGACGCCTGCTGAACGCCGCCCGCGTTGCGCCATTTTGAAAGTAATACTGGGAGAGGCAGAGGCGAGGGAAATCTCAAAGTAGAGTGCAAAGTCTAAAATTCACTTCTGAGGATTTGCAGTTATTTGTATTTAATAAAAAAACGGTGTCCTGCTGTCTATATCATCCGAGCTGACGACTTGGACGGTGTTCGGATTTAATAGCAGCACTCCCCGGTGTATTCCTGCACTGCTCCTCTGTCAGAACCAGCAGCCGACCCGGGTCAGCTCCGGTCCAGGGCCCGATACAGAGACACCCTGTCTGAGTCTCTCACCATGGCAGGTAAGACTACCGAGAAAACATTGCCAGAGTGGCTGATGTTTAATCATTTTTCTGCACTTAATATCCTGTTCTGCACAGATGATGGATTTGTCTCTGTTGTGGTTAACTAGCGCAGGCTAGTTAGCAAGCTAGGATACCTACAAGGTGCTAGTGTGTGCTAATGACAGTGTGAAAGTAAGAGTTTTCGAATGCTAAACATGCCTAAACGATTTCCTGTTGCATGTGAATATGTTACATTGCTTAAATAATGCAATAAGAATAAAGTAGCAGCGTCTATGTACTCATTTTACTGATTTTAGCTAAGTTAGCAGCACCATGCTAACGCGTGTAAAGTTGTCTTTGCTGGTGGTTTGTTAAAACTTGGGTCTGTGTTTTGTGCAGGGGCCGGCGGTGGGAACAGTGATGTGCAATGGTGCTTTTCACAAGTCAAAGGAGCGATAGATGATGATGTTGCTGAAGGTAAGTCCATGTGCTGGTCCACTGAACATTTGCTAACATGCACTGTCTGATTGGCATCCTGTGCATGCTTTTTTTGAAGTAAGCTTTAATGCTACTGCCACACATTTTGTTTTAGCTTTTCATAAAAGTTATATGATAATTACAAATTAAGAGAATTAACCTGTTTTCACTGAATGTTCATTATTGTGGCACTTCCCTGCTTATTTTCCAGTGGTTTTCCACTGGTTAAACTGGCAGACTAGACAAATATTTGGTCCAAAATG